AATTAAAAGCTACGAATTTTTTTCATCGCACGTTTTCCGCGCGTTATAATGTTGCTGACAACCCGCAACCATAACCCGGCCCGGCATGGAAGGTTAGTAAGAAATACTCTGATCGATGTTCTGATACCTTAGATACAATGAATATATGAAGTTCATATATTTGCGGTATTAGATACGTATGATGCACGATCCTCGCAGTAGATAGCGCTATTTATGCAAATATATGAACTTCATATATTCATTGTATCTCATTTATCACTTTCACGGGTTTTTTACGAGTCAACTTAACGGCCCGCTCCCAGTTGGCTTGTTAGCTCAACTGGTAGAGCGCTGCATTAGTATCGCAGAGGTCAGTGGTTCGAGTCCCGTATAGGCCTGATTTTTTTCAGGTCTGATTTTCGCTATTGCATAAATAGCGCTATCCCTGACTGCGAGGATCGTGCATCATACGTTCTGATACCTGTTAGCTAGAAAACTTAAAAATTGTGAAATTCGTAGATGTAACTTGAACGTAGTTTGATAGGAATAGTTTCTTACCACAGATGATTTGCCTAAAAAACCACTTAACCGAGAAACGGAGAAGATAACCAGAAAGTTATCGATGCCCGTCCCGAACATTTACGAGATGTGTAAGACCTGTCGTACCTAATTTTATTTATGTTTTTCATCCCTCTTTGATAACTGTTCTTTATTTTATCTATGTTTTTCATCCCTCTTTGATAACTGTTTTTTATAAAGAAGGGCCTGTGTACTTTTTCAATTCTGTAAGTTGTCTCTTACATTCGTCTCTAGGTACTGCAAGACGTACAGAACGAGATATGTTACGCCGTCAAATTGGTGTGCGACCTTAAGTGCACTGTTTACTGTCTCGAGTTTCAAAATATTGACCAGAAGTTGTTCAAAATTAAAGTGCTCTGCACAGAAAAGAATAAAAATTACCAGAAACAGAAATAACGATGCATATGAATACGCTCAAGAAAGAATTGTACAAGGCAGAACCACTTTGGTTTTGCTTTTGTCGTTGGTGTTAGTTCTTTAAAACAATTTAAACTTGCAACATCGTTATACGCAAAACCGTTCTCTAGACTCGACTGCTACGGCTTCGACGGGATTATCGTGACGTCACTGTGTCAATTGAACAGTGTATATCTTTCGCCTACACACAATGAGATGATATTCAAAGAGTCTGGAGTCTATGCACCCATTTGAGCGAGAAGTTTAGCAAGAAATCACACAGAACAACTAATCACTGAATTGCGATGATGTTGTTTTCTTGTGAGCTTATAAAACAGTGAGGATGATTCAAGTAAGTATCTTACATTCTCTGTTTGCACTAGTTGTATCGCGCAAAGGAACTTAGAGGCTTCCCATAGCAACGAAATAATTCAGTTTAATTTCGTCCGTGTGCATTCAGTTCTATGTCCAAAGAGGTTCCATAAGAATGGAGATGGAATGAGTGTTGTTCTGCCTTCAGAACAACTTTTATGGCACAAAGATGTGAGGTCAACTCATTTGCAATATTTAACGGTCGTTTACTAATTCAAGACATGGGCTGCACTGATGATCAGCGTACAGAAAAAATCGTAAAAGTAACGTGAAATTTATCTAATTTGTGCCTCAAGTTGACACACAAAAAATACTTACCAGGTATTGAGGAAAGGATAGAAACGGGACAGCTATTTAGAATTGTGATCGAAATGCGTTTCTGAATACTAAATACGGATGCATTTCCGAGGTCAGACAGACTCTGTGACTCTGGATAAGCAGCTCTCATCACTATAGTTTTGGGGAGGAAACTGATGGAACGATGTCAGGGGCTGTACCGAATCAACTCACGGCTGCAGTTTTATTTTTGAATCAAAAGTGCATATGATTTGAGCATAACTGCCGCACTGTGAGCACCTTCTTTGGTGGCTAGAATATGCTTTTCTCATGGTTTGCCTTCTTTGCAAGCAAACGAGATACATCAATAACGCTTAACAAGAGGTCATTAATTCTAAAGAACTTCAGTTCCTGAAAAAATTTTTTCAAGCAGGCAAAGTTGATTTCACCTTCATCAACAAGGTTGTTGTAGATTTTAGTAGAATGCAAATCAAATATAGCGAGCGGGGTAATAACTTCAACATGAACTACGTACTCTACGGTTACCACAGATGCGCGGTGTCTACATTCGCTAGAAAATATACCAGCGTTGATCGCTTTTGTTTGACTCTCTTTTGACATTTTTAACCGTAAAGCGACAGAATTCTGTAGTAGTTATTACAAATGCTAATTTTCATAAAGTAAAAGGCCACAAAGGACATGGCTAGTCGAAAATTTTCGCCGAAATCTCTCTGTAACACGTTATCTAACTACGCCTCTACTGCGGCGTTTCGTGGTACAGCAAACGCTTACTGAGAAAGATTAGGTGGCTGTTATTTGTCGTCCGGAAAGTTTCTTTTTATTATGCTTTGTTATTGATACTGTTAAAACATTTGACAATGAAAAACTGCGATAAAATATTATAAAGCATGACACGACGTTTCGACGTTTCCAGAACGTCATTATCAAGTAAACTAAAATAATAAAATCGAGCATACATATACTGAAGCGGTGAATAAATTACAAAACGTTAAAAGCTAAACAAAGAGTTTAGCCCTAATGGAATCGCTCTGGGAGTTTAAATTGGGCCTTATTGTTCTTATGTACAACATTTCATATACAAGACAATCCCATTTCGTGCTGCATTTCAACGCATTGCTGATCATCGATACTCTGCCATTGGTCGCCACCTGAGAGATGCCCATGGGAACATTGACTTACTCAATGAGAGCCAGTTTAGAATGCTTAAAAAATGCGGCACGAAATGGGATTGTCTTGTTTATGAAATGTTGTACATAAGAACAATAAGGCCCAATTTAAACACCCAGAGCGATTCCATTAGGGCTAAACTCTTTGTTTAACTTTTAACGTTTTGTAATTTATTCACCGCTTCATTATATATAT